GATAAGCCAGCCAAGTACGGGATAAAGACGGGGGTCGCCTGCGACGCTGAGACCAGCTACGCATGGAAGATGCAGGTGTACACCGGCTGGCCAACCACTGGCGCCCCAGAGAGGAACCAAGGGATGTGCGTTACGCTCGATGTCACTGAGGGGCTGCATGACCACATTTGCACATGCGACAAATTCTTCATGTCCTACGAGCTGACATCACGCATGCGCAGCGTGCCTGATCGGCACGCTGCGCAGGAAGAGGCCCAAGATCCCGCCCGCACTGCTCGATGCCACCGGCCGCCTAGTCTTCTCATCCATGTTTACCTTCATGCGCCATCGTGCCTTTACTACAACCGCACCAAGGGCGGCGTGGACAACCTGGACAAGATGATCACCGCATACAGCTGCCGACGCATGACCACCCGCCGGCCGACTTCCACAACGTTGTCGACGTGTCCGCCTACAACGCCTTTGTGCTGAGGCGTGAGCTCAAGCCTGAATACAGTGTGTCAGTGCCACAGGGTGGCAAGAGTTTGAAGCTCAGGGAACTTTCCATGTCAAACATCAGCAGCTTGGCAGCCTATACAGTAGAAGAGTAAGAATAACGCACAGACCTAAATTCTTTTTTTCTTTTGAAAACCATTTATCTTTCCACAGGCCTTTAATTCATCAGACATCATCCAGACACAGAGATAGATGATGTCAGCACAAATAGTATTCTCTCTGATAAAGATGACTTCTTTGGATCCATGTGGTCAGGAAAAACAGAAGCAGGAGAGCTGGAGAGGTACCTTCATTTCCATCCACCAGAGATATTGATCTATTGGATACCTCTCCTCACATCAAGAAGTTGTCACTCAGAGTCAACACAGGTCTTCCTGCATCTGCAGCCTGCAAAAGACAAGTTATGCAGGGCTCCTGTTCACTGCCAAACGGTCACAGCTTCACTGCAAGAAACTTGACAGCCAACTACTTCTGGACCTTAACCGTCACTTTACTTCATTTCACTTTACTGAACAAGCACATTTTAGCCAGACACAGACACGCACCCACACAGTTTATGGTAAAGTGAGACCTCTAATGTTATTTTCTATCTGTTGAGCCTGCTGTGCCATTTGGACGGCAACTGAATATACAGTATATCTTACACTGGAAATAGTTTACATTGTTCAAACATACGTATGTTACCTACAGTAGGTATTTGTTTTGAAAGTTGTTTGAAAGTGAGATTAGGAAATTTGTGTTTCTTGTTCTTTAATTTGCTATTTTGTAAAGATATGTATTTTTACTCATTTATTTTATTTATTTCATTTTATTATTTGGAAATGCCAGAATTTGTTCATTGTATCATTTTGTCTGGCTGCTTACATCATTTCTACAAAAATCAATCAGACATTACTGTGAAACAGTTACTCAGTACTTGAGTAGTCTTTTCACAGAATACTTTTTTACTTGAGTAATATTTTGGATGACTACTTTTTACTTATACTTGAGTAATGTTATTTTGAAGTACAGCTACTCTTACTTGAGTACAATTTTTGGCTACTCTACCCACCTCTGTTTTGTGAGCAGTGCTCTTATTAAAGAGAGGGTGTTCTGCTTTTACTCATCTGGCCTTATGACATTATCGGCAGCTTTATGCCAATGTGGACCAGGAGTCTGATGTGACTGGTGTAATGCCGTGTGATGGACATGTCGAAAGAAGTGACATGGTCGTGAATTGATATGCTGAGAGACATGGTGTCAGTCTCCTTTATGCACATTTGTATTAATGTTATCATGCAGATAAAAGACTGAAAAACTGAAAAAGCAAGAGAGGCAGGTGCAATCGAGCAAACCTGACAAACATTGTGGATGAATGACTTTCAGCATACAGCAAAAAGTGAACCAGCAGAAAGTAGTCATAGCTTTAAAACTAAAAAGAATGACATTTCATAGTGAGTTGATAGTGTATAAGCAGATCAACTCAGCTGTGAAGTCAACCTTCTTCCAGATGAAGTTATTAAGTCACCCCTCTCTCACCTTGAGATGGTTCACAATGCTGCAGTAGTTCTGACCGCTAGTACTGTCAAAAGTACTTGAAATGATGGTAGAAATAGTGAATGGCCTAGTACTAACAAAGATACTGCAGTTGGAGCAGAGGGAGAGAGAGAGATCATGGCCAGCTGGAGGTTTACCTTGTGACGGTTCGGTTCTGATATAATCCTTCTTCGGTCAGGCTTGTTTAGAAATATCCGGTGTGTTTGGATAAAAGGCATTAAGCAGTAGATAGTCAGCAGAGCAAGTTCTCTGTGTTTGAATGAACAGCTGTTTGCTGTGAGCGCACCCGCTGCAATGTCACCGCATTCAAAAAAACTCCTGCTCAACAATTGACAATAGAAGAAAAATTATAAGTCCTATCGAAAAAAATCTCTTCACTATGAGCAGCAGCAGGTTTCAACGAAAATGCTGATCATCATCTATGTCAAGATATTCCACAAAATGAAACTGTGGTGACTTAAAAATACCCTGATGTTTGGTTTCAGCAGATATTCTGAATCCTTCTGTTGAATGGAAGTCTATGGAACAGTGAAGAGGCACTCTCTCTGGAATGTGCGACTTTACACAAATACCATCTATCCCATCGCAAAAACAATGGCATATTCGGATTCCTGACAAGTTTCTCTACCATTTTCATGTATTATATTTGTGTGAAAGCTTAAGGATGGCAGAATAAAAGCAGAAAACCGGCAGGAAATTGATCAAACACACAGAGACACAGGCCCAGAGCGGGAGTCACGTGACTCAGAGTGTGCCCATAGGAAACGAATGGAGCCATTCATTCTGAATGGAGAAGTACACAAAATATAAATGGCGGGTATGCAAAAACCATAAAGGATATCAAGAAGCTTTTTGCACCACCAGTAGCTGAATTTCCCATGAGTTGAATACAGTTCAAATGGCATTTCTAGCCCAAGGTATGCTGGAGATATTAATGTTCTTTATTGTGTGGATACTGCTGCATCAGCATCCACACAATAAGAGGATAACAATACTGTGGATGCTTTTCAGCATCCACACAATAATAAATAAGGAACAGGAAAACATACTTGGCTTAATGTTAGATATTAGGCAAGTGGTTATGGTTAGGGTAAGTCTCCAGTGTATGTGTGTGTGTGGTATTATTCACATTGTAGGCAGCAAAACCCGTTTACACACACAATGAATGTTAGGGTGATGACTTTGTGTAAGGTTAGGGTTATGCAAATATTGGATAGAGTAGATTTCCAGAAAATATATGTAAATTAAACACATCTCCTGACTAAAGTAAAAACCCCAACCAAAATCTTTAGCTAAATAACTAAACCTAACTACAAAGCTGGAACATGTGGGGGCAATTGTGTTATCTGATAAAAACAATAGCAGTGTTAGAAAAAAAATAAGGCTTTCATAAAAAATTTTATAACGATTTAATCCAGAATTAATGAGTTCGCAATTTGAGCAGCAAATGTGCCATTTTCAAGAGTGGAGTGAACTCCAAATGGACTATAAGGGAATGATGATAGATTTTATCTTTGTCAGAAAACTATCATAGGGTGTTTCAATGAAAACTGAAAGTTTTATGAAAATATGCAAAAATCATTTTTAATATGTCTTGTACACATCTGTATTATCATATTCACATTAACTGGGTAACAACCAATTAAAACACAATAATGTGAACAAATCTGAAGCCTCCACAGTGAACAATGCAAGTAAAAATAGTTTACATAGGAAAGGCTTTTTTAAACTTAAATCTAGAGTTTGAATTTGTATGAAAATAAATGAATGAAAACTTTCATGTCAACATCTTCTCCTTGCTTTGCTCATGAAGTGCTAATAACACAGTGACAGTGCTAAATACAGACAGATCAAATGTCATAAAAGGAACTGGACTGGACTGAAAATACTGAATCTGCGTCAGAGGCTGTTCTTTTTACATCCCCAACCCTGGAAACACACAAACACCCTCACAGTTTACTAAGTCAAACTAAATCATTCATTATTGTTCATTAACCTCCAAAATTTTCACATTCCACACAAAAATGTGCTTTGCTGTGTTTGAACTTCACTGTCTAGAATGAGTGTGTTCTCCCATTCGTCTATTAAGTGGTATAGTTTCTAAGCTCACTTTAAATCTCAGTCTACCTTAAGCTATTAAATGCTGTTTTGTGTGAAAATGTTAGTGTTTCCATGTTGTTTAACATGAAAACTAACCTGCCTCTTCTTTTTCCTTCTTCCATTTGGCAAACAACAAAAATTAACATCATATACATACAACAACAGGGTTTTCCTTAAGTTCTCAGCCGCTTTAGGTGCTAACTAGCTTCCTTGGCTAACATAACTTAGCTAATTCAATACAAGTTGTTTACTCCACACACCCCTGGAGAGCTGGAAAGGTAGAAAAATTTCTGTTTACAAATTTTACTAGCTTAAAGTGAACATACTCTTAGTTTACTGCCTAGAGGTATAAGCAGGATTTGTGACATCACAATTGATTTGGAGTCAGTTGGAGTCCAGTATGCAATACACACAAGTCTCCAGTGTGGCGACAATGAGATCGTACTCTTCAATGAAGCAAAAGACATCTTGTGTAGAGTAATTTGAAATTAACCATATTTGTAGCTCAAGACTTTAAAGCTACATTAACTAACTTATCCCTTTAATTTTTGACCATTAAGGACAAAGTGAGAATCAAAACAAACTCTAGCAGTATCCAGTGAAGTTGTGTCGTATTGTGTCTTTGAGATCAGCTCCTACAAATTTATTAGTGGATGTTTTGAAAACGTTATTTAAGACTAAAGAAAATCAATGCCCTATCTGCATTACTGACTGGTTTTACTACCAGTGACACATGTACAAAGCTTCAATATTTGTTGTGACTGTGGTACCTGCTGGAGGGCCTGGAGATCTTCCAGGGTCTGCTGGGCAGTCAGTCTCAGGCTTACTTGCATGCTGGAAGTGAGCTTGCTGACACAAGCCTGGAGGTTTGGATCCAACAGAGAGGAGCCCAACAGGAGCAGTACCTCCTCCACCGACTGCAGGAGGCGCAGAGAGTGAAGGCACACCTCCCAGTCTCCTTCTGTCAAAAAAAAAACAACCAATGATCATTGGTGGTATGGGGGCTGCCACCTCATGAATCAAAGACTATATTTATAGGATCAGGCCATGATTTCCAGCCCATTTCTACACACAAAATGGCTCATGTCTCTTATGCTAACTTGAAATGACAACTCCATGCACATAAACAAACTACAACATGTACCAACAGCATAATAAACAATGTAAAGTGATAAACACTTACACCAAAGGGTTTGTAGTGAAAAGGTTCTGTAATGTCTCTGGCAACACAACAAAGTAGCTCCAGTCTCAAAAAGACCACAGAACTGAGTGGACACACTTCTTCTTCTTCTTCTTTTGGCTGTTCCCGTTAGGGGTCGCCACAGCAAATCATCTGTTTCCACCTAACTCTATTCTCAGCATCCTCTACTCTCACCCCAATTAGCTTCATGTGAGTGGACACACTAACAAGTTCTATTTCGTGTAGGCTTCGCCTTCTAAGAGCTGTTGCTATTGGGTTTATCCCTCGCGAATGTTCAGTCTTTTGCGCCCTATGCCCTGCACTGGGCTGTCCCCAAACAGGTCTGCTGTGCTGGCATAAATGCCAATATGACCTGTGATCGGCTCCCTCTTTTTCTTCAAGCAGTCTAAAAAGCATTCCTACATCACAATGGCTAAAGCCACCGGACTCCAGCGCCGCCCCGCCATCACTTTGTGCCCAGGCTGTGACACCGGCTTCATTATGCCCAGTGATCTGCACCCCCGCTGCCAGGCCTGCCTCGGTACTGAACACACAGAGCTGGCTCTCTCCCCTCAGGCCATTTGCCCCTTCTGCTCTTGCCTGTGGTGGAAAAATAACGAAGAGCAGAGGCTTTTGCCGTCACTAGAGAGTGGGATCTTAATGATGACAGCAGCTGGGTGAACTGCGGTGACGATCCCCTGGTGGACGATCCCCTGGAGTTCCTCAGTGTGGGTGGGCCTGAGTCTGTTGACTCGCTTCTCTCTGTTGCTGGCTCCCCCGGTTCTCCCCTCGATCCTCTGGTCGGCATGGGCACCGGTGGAGACACGCTTCCTTTGGCTGAGCAGCGAGCTCCCACTGCTGGTCAACCTCCAGCATTTGGGGCTCTGCTTCATGACCTGCTGGAGATCATCAAGAAAGTGGTTGCCTTCTTTGAGCCACTCACCAGAGCCCAGGGGATGACTGACCATGGCTTCCGCGCCATCCTACAGCTGGAAATGAGCATTTCCTCCATCCTGCTCCCCAAGGCAGTGTTCTTAGGCAGACGGCAGACGCTGCTGTCTTGTGATCAGGTTACCGCCTGCCTCATAGACTGCATTCACCAGTGCGGCTCCCAGGCTGGAGCAGCAATCAACAACAATATTCTCCTCTCCTCATCTGTTTCCTCCCTCGCTGCCCAGCCCGAGGCTCTCCCCTGTGGAGGCAGCGAAGGGTATTGGCAAGGCCATGGCTGCTATGGTGACACTGTCTTCAACCACAGCCATGGCTACGGCTCACACCAAGGCGTGGGCCATGGTGATCCAGTGCAATATGTGGCTGCATATGTCCCAGATGCTGGAGCAGATCAGGAAGAGTCTGTTGGAAGGTCCCATCAGCTCTGAAGGTCTCTTCGGTCCACACCTCCAGGAAGCTGTCTCTCATCTGCAGCAAGCAGCTGACAAAGCAGAATGTATTCAACAGCTGGCATCGTGGGGACGAGAGCAACCCCGGTCCTCCCAATCAGACTGGTGTAGTCATGGCAGATAGCGTCACAGAGCCAGGCACACAGTAGCCGCAGCTGCACCATGGCACACCTCAAGCCTGACTCCGCTCCTCCTGCATGCGAACGGACCGTGAATGAATGCTGGTGCACTGACAGAATGTTACTCGGTGTGGCGAGAGCAGCTGTCCATGAACAATTGGATGGACAACCTGATTCGAACCAGCTACACTCTGCAATTCTCCAGGCACCCCCTTGCTTTCAGCGGCGTGCCGGAACCAGTCATAACATCACCAGCAAGCTCCGCTGCACTGACAGCAGAGTTGCAGGTGCTGTTATGCAAAGCAGCAATCTCTGTGGTACCGCCTGGGCAGGAGTGCGAGGGGTTTTACTCACGCTACTTCCTAGTTTCCAAAAAGTCGGGCGAAAGGAGAACTATTCTCGATCTGTGTCTCTTCAGCAAATACATAGTGCAGAGACCATTTCACATGCTCACCATGAAGCAAGTACTGGAGTGTCTGCATCCCGGTGATTGGTTTATGTCCTTTGATATGAGAGATACTTATTTTCATGTGCCTATTATCCCCAAACACAGGAAATTGGATTTTGTATTAAACTGGGAAAAGAGCTCACCAGTGCCCTGCCAAACACTCATTTACCTGGGAGTGCACCTGGACTCTCTCAGCATGAGAGTGCAGCTGTCATCTGCTAGGCGAGAGGTGCTTTCATCTCTCCTGCAGCGCATTGTTCCCCGCACGAAGGTAAGAGCAGTCTGTCATGTGTTTACTGGAAACGATGTCAGCCAGTCAGGTCATGGTCCCCTTTGGGCTTCTTCACATGACGAAGCTCCAGAAGTGGTTCGGCTGTCTTCGCCTTGACCCGGTGCGTCACAAGAGGCGCATGCTCATGGTTCCCCCTCACTCCAAACAGACCTGGCGTACTGGGGAACTCCCAGTGTGCTGACAGCGGGAGTTCCCCTAGGCAGAGCTACATCACACATCTTGGTGTTTACAAACGCATCTCTGCTTGGCTGGGGAGGCACGTGTCTGTCACAGGCTGTAGGACAGTGGAATCACACCCCATCTCTCCACATCAACTGGAATTGGCCACAATGCTGAATGTTTTAAAGCACTTTGCACCAGTCCTGAGAGGAAAACACATAGTGGTGCGATCAGACATCACAACAGCCTTCGCGTACTTCAACTGGCAAGGTGGTGTTCATTCTGCCCAGCTGCTGGAGATTGCACAAGCTCTCCTGCTTTGGGCTTATCAGAACCTGCTCTCCCTCAGAGCCGTACACATCCCCGGTGAGCAGAACCATGCCAAGGATCTCATGTCATGAAGTGGACCTCAGCCCAGCATTGTGGGACAGGTTCGGTCGAGCTGTGGCAGACCTATTCATGGCACACGACACACAATGAACACCAGAGACAAACCCCCACTAGGGGTAGACACCTTTGTTCACCACCCTTGGCCAAGAGGTCTTCTTTATACATTCCCTCCTGTCCCACTAATCCCACGACTCTTTTCACACATTCAGAATGTGCCCTTATCACACACACACACTATGTCTATGCGCTCTCCATGGTACTCGTGTTCTCTTTTTCCAGTCCTACCTGCCTGATTGTAGCTGGCTACCAGCACTGTTTTGCTTACTGTTCTCAGTTTATAATATTACTATTACTACTGTAAGACAACAGCCACGTAATACAAGCATTTAATTATATCTGTGTGCTGCTAACGCCTGTATGCTCTTGCAATTTAACTGTTATCTGTGCTTTGTCAGGTGCACACTCTCACTGTGCGCTCTTTCCTGCACTTCTCCCCTGTTAAACTGAATGGCCACTCTGCCTTCTTACAGTGGCAGTCAGGTGTTACATGGGCATGATTGCACCTGCTTTTCAGCCAAGGCCTGATGCAGGAGAGAGGATGTTGTTTTGGGCTGCTATTATGGGGTATATTGTCAAGCTGAGGAGTTGTTTTTAATGCTCTCGGGTGGCGGTGTGCCAACAGGGCAATGACTACATCCAGCTACTACATCCCAATAGCGACAGCTCTTAGAGGGCAAAGCCTATACGAAATAGAACGATGGTTATGTTCAGTAACCCCAAGCTTCTATGAGTATAGGCATAGCCCTCTAAGCTTCCCCCCCATCGTAACTATGTAACATTGATGTGTGTGTCTCCTTACCATCCAGCATTTTCCAGATGAGAGGCAGGAGTGCTGGGTTCTCAGTGATGTGCTTCAGCCCTTTAACACTAATGCTGACATTATACACAGCCATCAGCATCAACCTGCAGCAAAACACCAGCACAGTCAGTGCTTCTAAAACACTACAGCATATGTACATCACTGACACCTACTGCCCACATTTTGGTACTAAGTAACAAGTTATGACTTTTTTTCGTGTACTTCAGTACTTTTTTTCACTAAGTACTGAAGTGCATTTGAACTGTGTGGTTAGAGAAAGAGTGAACAAAGTAGTTAGTTCTATTTCAAATAGGCTTTGCCCTCTAAGAGGTGTCGCTATTGGGTTTATCCATCACGCATGTGCAGTCCTGAAGAGATTTCTTTTGCGCCCTGTGCCCTGCACTGGGCTGTCTCCACTCTGGTCCAATGTGGTGGCATAAATGCCAATGTGACCTGAGTTCGGCTCCCTCTTTTTCTTCAGCAGTCTAAAGAGCAATTCCTAGACAACATGTCTAAAGCGAAGTTCCTTGAATGCCAGACTCCAGTGCTGCACCACCATCACTGTTTGCCCAGGCTGCGATAGGGATTCATCATGCCCATCAACCTACACCTGTGCTGTGAGGCATGCCTTTGCGCGAAGCATGCCGAGCTGGCAATCTCCCCCGAAGCCGCTTGCCCCTACAGTGCTTGGTTGCCCATGGCGAAGAAGCAGAGCCGGACTGAGGCATTTGCAGAGCTGAGTTTTGCAGTGAACTGGAAAAAGAGTTTGCCGTTGCCATGTCAGACAATCATTTATCTGGGGATACAGCTGGACTCCATCAGCACGAGGGCGAAACAGTCATCTGCAAAGCAGGAAGCGCTTTTGCCCTCCTGCAGCACATCGTTCTCCGCACAATGGTGAGGGCCCTGTCTGTGATGCGCTTACTGGGTGCAATGTCAGCCAGTCATGTAGTGGTCCCTCTTGGTCTCCTCCACATGAGGAAGCTCCAGAGGTGGTTCGCCGCCTTCGCCTCGACCCCATGCGCCACAAGAGGCACATATTAACAGTCCCACCCTCTGTCTAGTCAGACCTGATGTACTTGAAAACCCCCGGTGTCATGGCAACAGGGGTTCCCCTCAGCAGAGTCACATCATACATACTGTATCTGTGTTCACAGACGCGCCTCTGCTCAGGTGGAAAGGCCTGTCGCAGGCTGCGGGTGGGGGGAATGGCAACAGACTCCATCCCTCCACATCAACTGTCGGGAGCTGAAGGTGCTGAAGCATTTTGCATCGATACTGAGAGACAAACATGTAGTGGTGCAGTCAGACAAAACAACAGCCATCCCATACATCAACTGGCAAAGGCGGTGTTCACTCTGCTCAGTTGTTGGAGTCTTCTATTCTGGGTCCATCAGAACCTGCGCTCCTTCAGAGCCATGCACATTTCGGGCGAGCAGAACCGCGCCACGGATTTAATGTCACGAGGCAGGCCTCAGCCAAGCAAGTGGAAACTGAACCCATCCCTCATTCCAGTGCTGTCCCACAATACGCTCTTTGGTTCTCGATGAGTGCCCGAGACGAGTCTCTGCTAGGAGTGGACACATTTCACTCATCACCCCTGGCCCAGAGGTCTCCTGTATGCCTTCCCTTCTGTCCCATGGACCCCGCGCCTCCTCTTACGCATACAGGGCGAACAGCTGCGCATCATCCTGATAGTCCCAGGCACAGCCCCCATGTCATGCCCACTCGCACAAGTGTTGACGTTTTCCAGACCCTGGTAAACAGAAACCTGGCTCTGCCTACTGTGAAAGCTTACACTGTGGCCATTTTGCCCTGCCATAAAGGTTTTGGTGAGATCTGTGTTTGCGCACTTGCTGGTAAAACACTTCCTGAGAGAAGTGGGCAGACAGCGGCCTGTGATCCGTTCAGTGACACCACAGTGGGATCTTCCCCAGGTCTTACGTGCTCGGGGGACCCAATAGCGACAGCTCTTAGAGGGCTATGCCTATACTCATAGAAGCTTGGGTTACTGTATGTAACCATCAATACATGGACAAGAAAAATGATTATAGTGAACTGTAACTGTTTCATCATACATATGTACGGAAAAGGACTGGGGACACTTAATGTAATGACTTTTCCTCAGAATTTTTTTTAACTCTTAATAAAAACTAATAAAGTTGTTTATTAAGGCAAATCGGGAATTATATGATAAAAAAACATCAGCAATAATAAAATTATATGTGATTTGTATTATTAACAGTATTCTATCAAAGCTCCACATACACTTTCAGTCTGGGGAAGACACCAGGATTCATCCGCCCCAGAAGGTTCATTAGAGTGTCCAATAAGTTGTAAGCTGAGTTGGACAGGAAGTCCTGCCCACATGTCACTGCTGCTATGTCTGATTGATGGGATAAAAAGACAGGCAGGTGACTGAGGAAAATCTGATCTGGAATCTGTGAGCCGCTGATACACTTTCAGGTTTTTGCATTCAGGTCCTGAAGGAGAAATTTTACAACTGATGCGTTTTAATTTGTCAGATATATTCATAATGTTATGATAGCATGTACAGAATATATCCTGTGGACTCACTAGTAATGGTTCTCGCCAGTGCCAGTACAAACTGGTGCTCCTGGCAGTTGTGGTCCTCAACTTGAGTTTTCACCTCCTCATCCAGAGACTTGACAAAGATCTCCAGAGTCTGAGCAGTTACAGCAAGGAAGGCCTGGAGCTTCCCCTGCACCATCAGTGCACACACATCAGATAGCACAGCTTCACCAGACAGTTCATATCAAATTATGTCACACTTTAATATGAAACTAGGATGAGTATAAGACACACACTGACACATTTGTGGCAACAACTCACATCAGCCAGCCAGTGTGAGACTGTGTCCTCTCGGGCAGAGCAGCTCCACAGCAGACTGCAGGCTGCAGACCCCAGACCAGAGCAGAACTCTGCCTGCTGCTGCAGCTCTGTTCCAGTCTGCCACAGCTGCTCACGTAACAGCAGCTTCTCCTAGACACACACAATTGGTAACGCACAGTGAAGTGTCTTGATGCATGCAATTAAAAAGGAAAAGCTACTATATCTGCATGAGTATACAGCAATATAACAGTGAAATATTTATCTATTGTTTGGCTGAAACAACCATATAAATCTTGATGACTGATGTTAGTGTTGTGTAAAGTCCATTTTAAAGGGCTCACATATAGAGTGTGAAGCTCATATAGTATCTCTCACCTCTCTCTCTTTCTGACATTCATTCAGCACTGCATTCAGTCGAGATTGAAGGTGCACACACTCCTGTCGCAGCTGCTCCTGTTCCTGCACAAGATGCTCCTTCACTACCCACACACATACAAAAAAACTTAATGATGATAAATTTGTACCGAAAATCTTAAACTAGGTTTCTGCAGGGTGTCTTCATAGTGACTCTCATTTTTTTTGCCTGCCAACAAGATCTAGATCTTTCAGTCTTTTCTAATTTTAGACCAGTGTTTAAATTATTTTTTATGTCAAAAGTTCTAGAGAAGATTGTTCTTATTCAACTCCAGTCTTTTCTGACAGAAAACGGCACTGAGGAGCAAAATCAGTCTGGGTTTAATCAAAACATAGTACTGAGTCAGTGTTATTAAAAATTTATAATGATATTAATAATGGTATTTTGTTGGCTAGGGATGCTGGGGATCTAGTTCAGTTGGTGCTTTTAGACCTCTCTGCTGCCTTTGATACAGTGGATCATGGAATCCTCTTATCTCGTTTGGAGCAGTGTGTATGAATTCAAGGTACTACCCTTAACTGCCAGTAAAGAGAGGCCAGTACCAGGAAATTTGACCATATAACCCCGGTACTGGCCTCTCTTCACTGGCTTCCAGTCCATTTTAGAATTCTTTTTAAGCTACTGAGTTTTGTTTTTAAGGCTCTTAATGGTTTGGCACCACCCTACCTTGGTGAGTTGGTGAGGTGGTGCAAACCTACAAGATTGGTCAATCATCAAGCTAGTTTTTTTTAGAGGTTCCCAAGGCCGGATACAAACACTGGGGTGACTGTGCTTTTACTCTTGCAGCTCCTGAATTGTGGAATAGTTTACCTCCCAATATTAGATCATCTACAGACTTGATAACTTAAATCATTGGTTAAAACATATTTATTTGCTTTGGCTTTTAATACATAGTATTGTCTGATGCTTACTTCTTTTAACTATTGATTCTGTGTAATTCATGTGTTTATATTCCTGTTGTTTTATTCCTGTATTGATCTTATTCACTTTAGTTCTTACCTTGTCCTTGTAAAGTTCTTTGGTCAACCAGATGTTGTTCATAAAAGTGCCATATAAAAAAAATTTGATTTGATTTTTGTCTTACAGTCACTAGATAACACATACATAAGCTTCTGGAAGCTTACTTCTCTGAGCTGTCCGAGCTTTATACAGCATTTGAATCAGGTGCCCGTTCAGAACTCTGGGCAGGAACTCCCTCAGCTGCATGACTTCTGTGGTTAACTTCTCTAAATCTCTTTTCCTCACTACAACAAGCCACCCTGGAAGAAAAAGATATGCCTCAGTGCACACATGAATCTGGAAATATATGTTAAGATTATATTTTCAAAAGTATACTCCTATCCACCCACTAAATGACATAAATAACACTTGAAACCCTCAGCTGGACTGGGGCCAAGTGACAGACTTAGCCATTAAAGTATATTGCATTGTTTGTTCAGAAAACTCCTTGCACCTACAATTGGGGGAGCTAGATAGGGATTTTTATCATCCTATTTTATATTTTGTATTACTGCTCTGGTCCCCCGAGCACAGGCCCAGGGGCCCATGAGGTTGGGGGAACAAAGGCCAGAGAACCATGAAGGGACTGTTAACCTTTCCATTTTAAAGTCAACCAAATGACTACAAAAAGCCACAAAATAAGAAAAAGTAGAACTACTCACAAGAGAGAAAAGACCCTGAAGACAGCAAAATACAATCAAAAATACACCAAACAACAAAAAGAGAGACAGAACAACTAAAAAAATACACAAAACAAGTACAAATATGTGCAAAATGAGTTAAAATGTATATCCATGGTTTTAGGATGTTTAAAAAATACTACAAAAAGACACAAACCACAAATGATGTGGTTGCCCAAAATTTGTGAGTCTTGCTCATGAAAGCACAGGAGGGGTAGGGGCACATGTCTGTGCCGGGGGCCCAAGGTCTTATAATCCATCCATGCCTAAAACAGCTTTAAAACCGAGAGGCAAGGAGTAAAAATAACAGGCAGGCCATTGATTTGTGCTGGAGTAGAATCAAAATGTGAGTTGGAGCTGCAGATGGCTGCCTCAGTTCTGTACCGGAAACATATTCCTTGTGTGTGTAACATACTTGGCCAAATAAAGGTTATTAATAAAATAACAGAAAATTTGTAACTATCCAAGTGCCAATACTTTGGATTAACAGTACCGTATGACTGAACATACAGTATGTTTTTAGGTTAGAACTGTACTGAGTAGCTGTTTCCTGTACTTTACCTTTTCTCCATGACTCAAATCCAGCGATATCCCGCCTAATGAGGCAGACATTTCTTCTTCTGCTTCTACCGTTGAATCTACATTTCCTGCCGGACTGTTGGCATTATAGATAGCATCAATACATCATTTAATGCCTTCTTTTGTAACAATATTAAACTCACAAACGCACCAGCACACCTAAAACCTCATAGCACAGTTTGCTAAAATATTACAGTGTCTAATGCTATGAACGAGCGAGTTGTGTGAACGAGGATAAAGAATATTTTCAGAAAATTAAATGCATAATTTTCCTTACTTGTCTGAGTATACTGTTAAACTCACCCTCCAAACTGTAGGGGGCACAACGGCTGAAGATGTTCCCTACCGGATTGTAGCCCAAACCGTTTAGAAGTAATGAAATGCTCCGGTGTGCTTGAATCCAGTCCGGGTTTTGGGTTTCTCCAGTCGAGAAGAGACTCATCCCCTTGTGTTTGAATATTTTTTGTGAGCTCTGTGGGACCGGGAACAGTGGAGGGAAACGCTCTATACTATTACTTTTATTATTAGTTCACTCATGTCTGTGGGACTAGAACCCAACTTCTCCAGTGATGAAGTATTTATCAGCCGGTTTCCCGTCCATCGCGCCTGTCGGGATGGAGATGTCGGAGCTTTGGTCTCACTGTTACAGGAGCTCTCAAACCAGGCTCATCTGACTGCTGAGGACTCCTGCTACGGATGGACCCCCATACACTGGGCTACTCACTATGGACAGGTAACGTTAGCGAAATGTAATTTTCATAAACGGCACTACTCTTAAAACTCTGTTTTTTCTATTTTGTGTATACATTCGTCCTGTATAACTTAGCTACAGTAAAATACGGTAAAAGTTAATTTAACTGCAGTCAACATGAATTACGGCTTCGCTAACGTTGTAATAATTCAATTCAATCATAGCATGGTGGTGGACAGCAGCGACTAGCACTAACCATTTAAAACGGTGTTTTATGGAAAAAAAAAAGTATCTTACTGCTGCACCACTAGCACTAGTTCTACACTCAGTGTTGTGTGCTGCCCAAAAAATTGTCTGATTGTCAGTGTTGCCAACTCGTCAGTAAGGAAAGTACTTATTGGCTGTCCTAAAAGTCGCTACATGACGTCATCGCCTAATTTGCATGATAGTCAATTTGCATGTAACTGTAATGGACGCTGTAGGAGAGAGGAATAACCTCATGGGAGAGACAAAAAGTGAGTAAAAAAACACCCTAAATATGTTTAGAACTACAGATGAACTTCCTTCTGTTGATTCTTGGTTTGTTTGTTTTTTATTTTGCCATTGAAATAGGCCTTCACTTCTCAAAATAACTTCATGACTTTAATGATTTGTTTAGACCCACCTTACATAAATCAGTTGTGTCCTGTATTGTTAAATGTTAAAATATCACATTTAATCAAAAGACTGTTATGTGGAGTGTAACTGCTAGCTCTACATCCATCCGTGTGCTTCCGCCTCTGCGTGGAGCGGCTGCTACCCCAAGCAGCTCTCGCTTTAATTGTGTTTTTTTTTTTTTCGAGTTTTCTAGGTTTTGTGTGTTGCTTTTTGTGATATGTCGCTTTCCCGTAAACTTTTGGGAGTTGGGCTACCAGGAATACAAGTTTTATTGCATTTGCATTATGTTTTTATACTTTTTACGAGGTTTTGAGTCTGCCTGGGGGGGACACTGTTTGCCAACAGTTGGCCATCAATGCTAGTAATCCTTCCAAGCTCCGAGCTGCCGGGGATTTTCCACGGGGATGCAAGGTGGTGCGACGGGAGAGGTAGGACTGCGGGGCTGGAGTGAGGCGCTGGGGGAGGAAACGGAGTATGGGCCATGTTCGCCATCGGTCCGCTCCCCTCCGAGATTAATGGACGAGCTAGCTGCGCTGGTGGAGCTGCAACAGGGGTACGGAAAGAGCGGCCCTCCGTGCTTCACCGAGAGTTCTGGATCTGTGGTCTGTGGTGACGGTTCTTCAGCCATCCCCAGGCCGGCTCTGCTGCTACGTGCAGGCGCACGCAAAACACGGTGCCTCGGAGGCGGACACAATACTGGCAGGCCCAAATCCCCATCTCAAGGGCATTAAACCATGCTTCCCCCTCCCCCGCCACCCTTCCGACCATCTCTATGTTAATGGAGAAGTATAGAGATGGTCGGAAGGAGCTGCATTGCGTCTTTGTGGATATAGAGAAAGCGTACGACAGAGTGCCGAGAGAGGAGCTATGGTACTGTATGAGGATGTCAGGAGTGGCTGAGAAGTACGTCAGAGTAGTTCAGGATATGTATGAGAGGAGTACGACAGTAGTGAGATGTGCTGTAGGTCAGACAGAGGAGTTCAAGGTGGAGGTGGGGCTACA